GTTGATGCTTGGCATTGGGCATGATGAACTTATGCTCATGTGAGGCTGCTTCAGAGCATCCTATTCTGCTGTTTTATGGAGGTACTACAAGAGGCATGTCTGCTGAACATCTGCTGAAACCTAAACATCTGTGTCAGCAATGTATGCACCTTCAAGGAGCTGATTTCATTCATCAGAAGGGACGTCTGAATACTTAAGGGCCCTATTCACACCTGGTTATTTGAATATTGACAAAATTTTAATCATTTGTGTCTATGTTTAGTCACATGTGGCACATAATGTGCATCTCAGCTGGCATCCACCAACCAGTTGCAGTGAGTGTGTTTACATGCACTTAATAATCCGATAACTGCAGAATATCAGATTTTGTCAGTAATCTGATTAACATGTTTACATGCACTTGAGTAATCAGATAATGGGAAACTCCAGGTCTACATGAGTCAGACAGTAATTAGATTTCTGCCTATACTAATAAACTCACAGAAGAAGACGTAATGTAAACGTAACGTAAAACTCAAACTTCATGCTGCAGCTTTTTTTAAACATTGCACCACTTTAACTGAAAATATGAACATACATAATCTAGAAGATGAAGAATATTTAAGTCCCTTATTTAGTGTTTTGCTGCGTCTCGTGGCGACGCTGCTTGCTTATTTCTTGTACCGCCGTCTGTTCTCAGGCATGCGCAGACTGAGAGATCTGAAAGAAATCGGAATGTGGTGTTTACGTGATCACTTGAATAATCGGGTAACTGCAGAAATCCGTTTATGATTACTGAGTGCATGTAAATACACTGTGTTTACAAAAGATGGTTATGACGACATTTCGTGACTGGAGGAAGGGTTTACTGTGTAAGGGTTTGCTAAGGGTTTACTACCCTGTTTACTACGTCAGTCTCTCGGTTTTTTTGTTGATGTAAAGGCACAGGCAGTTACAAACATTATACCACATAGACTGCTAACACAACTTTGAAACAAATGAGGTAAAACAAGCTACACAGCTGCTTTCGTCTCTGATGGCAATGATGGACCGGTTTACTTTCAACACTACAAAAGTTATGTGGTCATACGTGTTCCTGACCTTGTCTGCAAAGGTGGTTTGAATGAACAGATTGCAGCGTTTCTCCAAGACATATTGGACCTCAGTCACATGGGAGGATCACGCTAAAAGTGGGTGGAGATACTACACATGCTGCTGATTACATATCAGTATCGTACTATTTACTAATGTTTAAGGAACTTGCAGTGGCCAGTTTTGCATTCATTTTCTCAACTTTTAAAACCAGGCATTGGTTTGTGTTTGTAGTTTGTGTTATGGTCTCAAGAGACGTGATGTTCAGAGATTTTCTTCAACAATGACAGCAAGCACAGCAGCTAGATCAGGGGTCGGCAACCTAAATGTTAAAAAGAGCCATTTTGGTAGGAACCACAACATTTCGTGTACATTTTATTGAAGTGACGTTTCACCATCTTGGCTGTAAATTTGTCTCAGTATGTGCTGATGTCCTAGTATACGCTAAACATATAACAAAAACGCAGATTTACTTTGCTCTACTTTAAGCTTTAGCTCAGCTATAGCTGCTTTTCTCGCATCTCCAGCAGGAAACTTTTCTGCAAAAGTAGAACAGTTTCTTGTAAAATGTCTCAACTTTCGACTTTTTACGGGGCTGAAGCTGCTTCTCATTTGCCAGCTTCTCATTTGAATTTTCCTGTTCCACCTTAAATGATGCCTGAGGCGCAAGACCGTAGTTATCTATATGGCTAACTGTTGCACCATTTAAGGTGGAACGGAAAAATTCGAACAAGAAGCTGACTTCAGCTATGCCACTTTTCAGTGTTTCTCGTTGCAGATTAAACGTATCGGGAAACCAGCAGGAGTCATTATAAATGCAAAGTCCAGTCATCTCTAAATTATCGATGTTTGTCTTAAATCTGTCTTTGCCTTTTCGTTAGCTACTAGCTACGCAAGACTGTTGTCTGCGTTGCTATGGCCAGCAGTCTGCGCGCCATCCTTCAGGGTTAAAGCGTGCATTAGTAGATATACATTAACTCCAGGGTTTAAGATCATTATTGTTAAACTGTGTTGAACAATCAGCAGAGCTTTATTTTACTGTAAAGGATGATTATTTTATTTTTACCTAAAAATGTAATTCTGCTCTGGAGCCGCAACAGAGCAGTAAAAGAGCTGCATGCGGCTCCAGAGTCACATGCCGACCCCTGAGTTAGACAGAGGCTAGAGCCTCCAACATCTACTAAAACAAAAATTTACCATCAGAATAACACTGTTTTAAACTCTCAGGGACCATTTGGATGTATATGAGAAGAGAATATGCCGTGATGCGGCCTCAGTATGTTCGCATATTCACATACTTTCCCAGCTGGAGCAGGTTTACACCCCTGCAGAATGTTTTGGTATTCTCTCTTTGGCACTAATCGTTCATTTTCTGTTTTGTTTGTTTGTCTTAGCTCCACTATTTTACTGCGCCTTTTAAACCCTGTGCCTCACAAGTGAGCAGTTAGTGGGCAGGTCTGCGTGCAGTTGGTGAAATAAGCTGCAGTCTTAGTAAATTGACCAGTAAATTCAGCCACATTGTGGGCGCATATTGTGGCAACATCAAGGCACTTTTTATCTCATACTTATGTCTGGCCCCAAAGACCGTGTTTCACTGCACATTTAAAAAACAGGAACTGAACCAAATGGGAACCGTAGGAAATTGGTTTCTATTTCTTGTTCATTTTCCATCGACTCAAGAGGTGGAACCTTCATAATGGTGATTAGAGTGCATGGTGGATTTGTCCTCACCTGGAAGAATAAAGAATTTGCTAAATTGTCATTGGCTTTACAAACGTTAACAAAGACAGAGCACCATAGTACCATGAGGTCCTGCTGGTACCAATTTTAACCCATACCAAAAACCATAGAACTGAGGTCTTCTGTACTGGACAGGAAACAGCACAGTTCCAGTTTTCTGAGGCCAGAGGTTCTGGTTTGGGTGAGGAAAGCAACACTGTTAGCCTACCAGAAGCTCTTCATCACTGAAGTCAAACTAGAACCAATCAACATTAGAAACCACAGATTTTAGCCATTGGCTCGAACACATGAAGGATGCCCTGCTGAAAGGCACCTTGGCTGTTGTGCGTATATATGTGTGTGTGCGTGTGTGTGTGTGTGTGTGTGTGTGTGTGTGTGCGAGTGTGTGTGCGAGTGTGTGTGTGAGCATGTTACTGAGCGTAGGAGCTGCTCTCAGACACCACGCTGAGGCTGATCTAATCGTGTGAATGTAATTAGGCTTTAATTGCCCAGCGTGTGAGACTCTGGCATCTGTCTGGAGCGCAGACGGCAAATAATGGCCTCAGACGCTGTCATTTCTTAATCACACTGTTACCAAACACACCACACACAGCTGAGAGAGGGTTTGGGACACACTTTGTGTTACTCTGTCAGAGACCTGTTGAGCGTTTGTGTGTCTTTGTGCCGGTTCTGTATGAGCTGTGATCGGGATGAAAGAGTGAATGTTGTGTTTACTGCGTTACGTATTTCTGTAGCAGTCTGTCTGAGACACTACGCACCAACTCACTCTCTCGCTCTAAACTGCTTTCCTTTTGACTTCTTCAGGTTTTCTTTCTTTCTTTCTTTCCTTTCTTTCTTTCTTTCTTTACTTCTTTCGTTTTTTTCTCTTTATTTTCATTAGTTCCATTTTTCTTTCTTCATCTCTTTTTATATTATTTTGTTTTTCTGCACTAAAGAACGTTTTACCTTCTCCTGTCAAACACACACACACACACACACACACACACACACACACACACACACACACACTGATGTTATTTGATAGTTATTTCTTAATTATGAATATCATTGTTGCTGTAACAAATCCTTCATTCACTCGTATAAAGAGTTGCCGCTAGAACCCCAAGCCATATGTTTAAAGCTTCTCTCACAGTTACAGACAGGTTTTACAGGACACGTTTAAAAACCGAGCCTCTTTAAGCCAGTGAGAGAGACAGTTTTTCAGTTGACACTTTGTTTACCTTTTATGACTTAATACATTCTTATTTTTCTTTAAAAATATTATTTTTAAATATTTTAGTAATCAAATGTAGCATAAAAATATAAAATATGTTTTAAAACTATTTTAAACCTGCCTGTATTTATTTGTATATTTTTTTGGCTTTTTGGCCTTCAGCCCACCACAAGCTAAGTATTCTGGCCCCCAATACAAAAAGCTTGAGCACCCCAGGGTTAGAGACAATCACACTCATTATACAAGAGGCAGATCAAACAATAACAAATGTTATTGTGTCTAGTTAAAACCAAGTTGGGTAAGATTATTTTTATATTCTGCTGCTGTACTGTGGGACACAGACCTATAGCGAAGTCCATCAAGAAAGAATTGGTTAAAAAATGTTTTTATAAAAATGGTTATTTAGCAATATGTTTGCAGGTTACAATCTGAAAACCTATTGTGTGCTGTTTTTTTGTCTTGTTCTTATGTATGTCCATTTTTCTTGTTTTATGTAACGCGGACCACAGTGGAAATTTAGGGCTGTAAGAGTTTTATTTCTGTCCTATTTTAATGTTTAATGACTGCTTTACAGTGTTACATAAATTTTGATCAACAAATTCAAGCAATTAATTAACCTAACATGTAACTACATTTAATGTAGTAATTCCAAACCATTTCCTTTGGTCCGTTCATCATGAAATGTTCACATTGTCGAGTGGTGTAAAAAAACTTTAAAGATCTTAGAAAAAACTGAAACTGAGCCGGGTTACGGCAGTGACAATATGTATGTGCTGCAGTGTTTTGACAATAAAAATGTAAGTTTGTTGTGTCGGTAAAGTCAGATCCAGATCTCAGAAATAAATCTTCAACGTGGGCTAGATTTTATCTCCAGTAGAACAGACCCAGCTCCAGGACAGCAGGCCTATACATACCTACACTTCGGTTATTAATGCTCAGGGACAGCGTAATAACAGTGTGTGTGTTTTGTCCACAGTGTCTCTACGGGTGCTATGTCCACTCCTCCATCATCCCCACCTTCCACCGCAGGTGTTACTGGCTGCTCCAGGTAAGAGTCCATCTGTGCTTTAAGGACACCACACCACAATACCCAGCACTACACTACACCCAGGACCACACTACACTCTGCATTGCACTACGCTCAGAACTACACTACACTCAGCATTACACTACACCAAACTCTACACGACACCCAACACTGCACTTAAACCAGCCCTAGACCCAATAATATACTACTTCCAGAACTCTCTCTCTCTCTCTCTCTCTCTCTCTCTCTCTCTCTCTCCCAGTATCTCGCTCTGTCTCTCCTACTCTCTCTCTCTTTCTCTAACTCAGCATTCCAACATCCATTTACTTCTAAATGCCGGAGGCAGAATTTACTGTGTGTGTGTGTGTGTGTGGTGTGAGTGTGTGTGAGTGTGAGTGTGTGTGAGTGTGTGCTGTATACCGTGAATGAACAATATGACAACGTGTTCCTGAAGACAGTGCGAGTGGGCAGAGGAGAAAAAACAGAGCGCAATTCTTTTCTTTGGTGCTGTTGTGAGAGGCTGATGCTCTACTGAGGGACTGATCATACGTTTACAGTTTTTCTCTCTGCTCGCTCCACTCCACCGTCTGGAGTGTGTGATTGATTGCAGTGAGAATCCTCACACACCCCACTCAGCAGAGCAGGATACCTGAACTACGTACAATATTTTTACAGTGGGCACAATTTTAACCTCATCTGGTGGATAAAGGACATTTTTGATCACAAATTGATATTGTCTTTAATAGTCTGTAATCTGTTAGTTTGTTCATCTATCACATATGTAGCGTTTACAATGCCATATGTATTTGCTGGGTACTTTCAAAGGTAATTATTGAACATAGCAAGTTTACATTGTCAAAATCTTCATCATAAATTAATTTTACCTGATACCAAGAAAAATCTACCTTTACAACCTCCTCACAGCAGCCAATCAAATTGCATGTTGCAGCTTGTTTATATTTAAACTGTAAAATGTATGTTTTTTTCAACACATTCACAACAATTACTTTGAATGAAACAATGCAAATCAACCGTGTAGTTCATACAATTACAAATAATTAGTCAGACGCTGTGAAAAGTAATGAATGCATAAATAAAAACAGAGAAAATGTAAAAAATAATGAACTGTAGATGATTATAATAAAATAAGTATCCATAATGCTTTGTATTATATTAAGCCAGATAACAAATGACAAAAAACTCTTTATAGATAATTGCAGTATATTATTTATCATTGAAATATGTTTTGTTGATACCAAAATATTGAACTGAAATAGATGACAAAAACTAAATCTAACAACTTCTACAAGCACTATTTCTTGTCTGATTTAGAGATTTAGATCTGCATTGTAGATGTTATTACTGTATATAAAATAACAAAAAATATTAATATGAAAAAAAGATTAAACATTTTTGACCAGTAATGTAAATATCTGTTAATTTTCACAAAAAATGCAATGTCTGTATTTTTTGAGCAGAACCAACAGGAATGACCAAAATGCCCATGTACACATACCTGCAGACCACTGCAATAAAAAAAGGAAGCCTCTTGACCACAGCTGTTCTCAATTTCATGTAGGTTTGCGTGACATAGGATAAGTCCGCAGACTGTGTAGTGTATGTATAGAATCTGTATGTATGTTTACTGGAACTACAGTCAAATTAAAGGAAGCTAAGAGAGGCATATTGATTGACACATGGCTTTTAGACATGATTGCTGCTGCTCCAGCCGCTCCGCTCAATCAATACGTTCCCATCTTACCAGAGCAATCACTTGGGCTTGGATTTCACAAATGAATAGCTGTCAATAATACTCTAACTATGTGTAGAACAACCGAAGTATACTAACAGTGCATTACTTTTAATATGGGGAAGTGAAAGAGAACGCTGTGCTGGTGTTGTGCTGGAAGACACTGCAGAGAACCAAACATATGTGTGGTTTTTATATGTGGGTTTACATTTACTCAGTTATGTGCTACACTGATTTCTTTTTTCTACTTTAATATCATTATTTTACGTAGATGATAGTATCTGTATGCTTTGACAAAGGGTTACACTTCTGACTTTTAAAGTTTTTTTTTATTTTACGCCATTTTTAATCATTAACTTTTATGGCTAATTCCAAAACTGGTGGATGACCAATTTTTTGGCTGATTTGTATCAGCCTTTGTTTTTGACCCCGAGCTCACACTGTGTGAGCTAAATGAGCATATGAAACACTAGCACATTACCAGTTTATCAATGCTGTCGGAACAAAACCTTGTATCTCGATTTTTGTCGTTTTTCGGTTTTTGACATATTTTGAAAATGCCTGTTTCGCTTTACATTGTGAGTAAATTTCATGATGAAGGGACCAAAATAAATGACCCAAAATTACTTGAAAAAATTCTGATTACATTAAAAGTAGAGTATGTTTTTTCCTTCTCCTGTAAAGTTAACATTTTAGAGATACAAGGTTTGCTTCCTCCTATATTTGTATAATTATATATATATATATATTATATATATATATATGCTTAACATTACTTGCTCTCCATTGGGCCAAACTGGCATTCTAAATTCTTCAATGAAAAATCAGTTGCTTATAATACAAATCAAGTGAAGGGCAACATTGAAAGTAAGAAGCGATTGGTTATTGAGTATGATGAGTCATATATATGCATATAACATGCCTATTTTTTTGCTGCAGGTGTAGCAGCGGCATTCAAACACAGCGCTAGTACACTTACCTGCCTCGCGTTCCTGACAGCGTGTCATAAATATGCAGCACAAATCAGTCAAAGTCAAAATAATAAATTGACCAATTTCAAGTTTGGAGCTAAATCTGCTAATTATGATCTTAGCCAGTTACAGATGTGCTTAGTGCCTTTACTGTTACTTAAACCTTTATTTCACAAAAGCAATGCTACTTTTACTTTAGTGTGGGTTTAGACTACTTTAACACCCTCTGGGTCTTTTGAGCTAACTGTTCTGATGTGCTCCGATGAAGCTTTAAGTAGATACATTGGTGAAGCTCACAGAGCGCTATCCATGGTGCTGAACTCTTCAGGGCCTGTCAGTGGAAGAGGAGCACAATACCATATTTTTCTTTTGGATACAGAAATCAGTGCTGAAACACTGAGTAGGAGTGTCAACTGATAACAATTCAATGCTTTTTTTTTCCTGTAAACACATCTAATCCTTAAAATGAGCTATTTTTAATGAAGCAATTCACTTAACTACTCTACTCATCTACAGATAGAAATACATGGTCAGAAGCATCACTGCAGCTGTGGTTGAAGGTAAAATCTGAAATAGAGGTGGGCAAAATGGCAATATTTATCATTATTGTGATCAACTATATCATATTACATCACAAAATGCTTTTCTGAGCATAACGTGAACATAATTCAGTGCAGTGCAGTATGTGAAACTCATTGTGTTTGTAGTTTTGGACAGTATTTGTAAAGGTGGCACTGCTGACTGCTGCCTTTGTCTGTTCCAAATGATCAAAGCTCAGATAAACTAAATATTGTTATCCATATTGCATGTCTTGAAGAAAATGTCTTGAAGTATTGGGATATTATATCTTTGTCATATTGCCCACTGCTAACCTGAAAACAGAACTATCATTTAAAGTGCAAATATATGCAAAAAAACTATTTTACATTCAGATTTGTTCTTTTTCTCTTTTATATGTAAATACACAAACAAGCACATGCTTGTCAGTCACACACCACACCAAGTTCAATCTCTGCTCATACCTGGCATATTTGTGATAGAAATGTCTTTAAAAAGGTCAGAATGTGTTATAGAATACTGTAGAATGTGTAGAGCTGTGAGCAGAGAAAAGAGAGGGATGGAGAAAACAGCATGTATTCATATGGAAAAATGGTTTATTATTATAAGGTAGGCAGAAGGAGGCGTATAGAAAGTGTACAGTTTGAAATAGTTCAGCTGGTAAAGCCAGTGGTTACACTGCATGTATATTTACTTACACCCCCCCCAACCACCACCACCACTCCCCACGCCCACCACCACCCCCCACCCCCAAACATGGAGCTGTATCCTTCAATGGGCCAATGTGTTTAAAGGGGAGTCTTATTTATTCATTGAGATGTTTCAGTTGAAGCAGTGTGTGTGTGTGTGTGTGTGTGTGTGTGTGTGTGTGTGTGTGCGTGTGTTTACTTTGTCAGGGTGTGTCACTGCATCTTTTATGAGCCAATTTATTTACCACCTTCAACAACAGCATGAAGCCACTGAGGCAGTGAAGTATGCAAATCATATACTGTATAAAGAAAGACGAGGAAGGACACTCTATTATTTCCCACTCTGTGTCCTTCCCGTCTTTCTTCTGTGTGTCTTCCCTTTTTTCTTCTTTTCCAAATCATTGAAGGGCACAATGCAGGCCCCTGAACTATGACCCCGACCTTCTCTCCCGTTTCCTGGTCACTACAGCGTGCCTGAGGGGGTCAGTCCACATGGATCATGGGCCTTGGACAGTTGGACAGTGTCAAGGTCAAGTGACCTTTACTGCTACAACCTGGGTCAGCTCTGCCTAGTAATGCTTACAGTAAATGTCCATCTGTGCATTCAACAAAGCTTTATCTTTACATCTACAGCAGAACCTTTTATTTTACATCGACAGCAGAACCTTTTATCTTTACATCTACGGCAGAACCTTTTATTTTACATCGACAGCAGAACCTTTTATCTTTAGATCTATGGCAGAACCTTTTATCTTTACATCTACGGCAGAACCTTTTATCTTTACATCGACGGTAGAACCTTTTATCTTTACATCTACGGCAGAACCTTTTATCTTTACATCTACGGCAGAGCCTTTTATCTTTACATCGACAGCAGAACCTTTATCTTTACATCTACGGCAGAACCTTTTATCTTTACATCTACGGCAGAGCCTTTTATCTTTACATCTACGGCAGAGCCGTTCATCTTTACATCTACGGCAGAGCCGTTTATCTTTACATCTACGGCAGAGCCTTTCATCTTTACATCTACGGCAGAGCCTTTCATCTTTA